CGCAGGGTTAATTCGATGTAACGGCGCTAACTTCGACATAAACGCCTAGTGTAGACCAGGCCTAAGTTAACGTCTAATGTTTCACATGAAACTATCCTTACTGCTATACAGAACCTGATTCCTTTGAGTCTAAATTAGATTCAATGTCTGTTAAAACAGCATTTTAGGAGAAATATGCTGTATCTGATCAGGAAAATTTTTTTTGGTAAGAAGATCAAGGAGACACAGATACAAAATGACAGCACTATATCTTCGTCGGGGATCTATGAAAGGATAATATATTAGTACATGGAAAACCTGAGATGATGGACGTTATATGAAAGCAAATACAAAAATATTCAGCATTCTAGATTTCTTAGAGGATGAGGGACTACTTATTCAATGTCTTCTTGTTAAGTTCATTAGCTTAATTTCATCCTCCACTAAATATTTTAATATATTTTAAATTTCTTCTTACATTTTTTCTAATTCTAAATGTTCTACGTTTGAAAATATTTAGTGGGAGAGCTTTAGTTATCTTGGCATCAAATTTTGATAGAGAGCTGAGTATTAATGTAATTTGGAGAATGTATTTCAGAGATTTTTCTATGAAACTCATCCCAAATATAGAAAAAATTTGACTCAACATCTTTAGTTTGGTTCTTTCTTTTCAGACATCTATCGTGTTCCCAGGCAAATGAAGGTTAATTACAGATCAGGAATGTTTTTGATTTTTTCCAACTTTGATGCTGAGAGTTTTAGGTACAATTTTCAAAAGTGATCCTGCACCATTAAGTCAGTGAGAGTGTTGGCATTAATTTCAAGGGGACGTAAGTCACTTAGGTCCAGATCCTCAAAGGTATTAAGATGCCTAATTAGGCCTTAGATGCTTTGAAAGATTTTGTCCTTGTTAACACAGCAATGTCCCAATCCTGCCAGTGAACCCCTCTATGGAATCCCATTGAAGTTAATGGAACTCTGCAGGAGAGCAAGGATTTAGCTGCTTGCAGCCAATCACAGAATTAGGGCCTTCAGCAATAAGACACTTAAACTTAGGACGTGACTTTAGATGATGATGATTTTGGTGTTTTGCTGCTTCTTGAATATGAATGATTTTTTTTTGGTCAGATTGATTATGTGCAAATTATGTGTGTTTATCTGCCAAATGCAATAGTTTGTGCCTTCCACCCGTACTCATTGCTGCTGTGAAAGTGTATTTTTTTCTCTTTTTTTAAAAATTGCATTTATAGTGCTCTCGGGGACTTGTCTATGCTGTTTCTTATCTAACTTTTTCTTTGTTAAACCTTGGTGCTTCCTTGCATTCATTACATGTCAAAGCATCAATAAAAAGATAACTTTGAAAAAGGTTGGGGAAAAGATTTTAAATGTCCTAAAGTTTCCTAATTGAACTTAAGTCCTTCTGTGTCTGTCTCAAATGATCCTGTGACTAAATATTTCTTCTGCCACCTCTCTTCATAAAGATTGGGTTATCTAGTCTGAAAACAAAAACCATGTCATAAGACTTAGGTGTCCAATCACAATATCCAGTTCTGAATAGAAATATATGTTGTTAAAAGCCAGTTTCATTTCTTCAGACAGGCAAGTCATCACATTCAGCCCATTCTTAAATTGCCCAAAGTTTCAGCTAACAGCCTTTTTGTTGTTGCTGTTGTTGTGGTTGTTGCTAAAA